GCAGGGGTCTCCCCACAAAAATGGACAAAAATTTTGAAAAATATTAAGTGCCAGGATTTTGATGCAGAATTAAAGTAAATCGTTCTAGAATTCGTTTAAGGTATCCCGCTTGGGAATCGGGTAAGAAATGGCTGAGATATAGCCATGGACCTGGGCCATATATGAAAATCATGCATTTCGCAGGGGTCTCCCCACAAAAATGGACAACAATTTTGAAAAATATTAAGTGCCAGGATTTTGATGCAGAATTAAAGTAAATCGTTCTAGAATTCGTTTAAGGTATCCCGCTTGGGAATCGGGTAAGAAATGGCTGAGATATAGCCATGGACCTGGGCCATATATGAAAATCATGCATTTCGCAGGGGTTTCCCCACAAAAATCGGACAGAAAGTCCTTTAAAAATATGGTATATCTAGACTTTAATGTCGATCGGTGGAATATCGAACCCCAATAAAGCAACCTCCGAAGCCCCCGAATAAAGTCAAAGCCGGATCTGTGTTTTTGGAAATAATGTTTATTGACGAATACTTTACTTGCATTGTTTCAGTTGCTTACTTTGTATCTTTTATACATGCAGTTGTTGAAATTGTTTCCCAACTTGTCTCGTTTAAGTCCTTCCTCCTCCGATTTCGGCTATGGCAGAGTGTGTATATATCTATATATATATATATTTGTTCATATATTTGCCTCATTTATGTATATTTTTGTGTTACTATATGTGGTTTATGTTCACGGTCGCACAACAATCAAAAATGTGGGTTTTTGTTGACAAACAAGTGAATCCCATTAATTTTTGCATCTTAATAGTATATTCTTTAATTTTTTTAATGCATGTGTGTATGTATGTGCACAATCCCAAAAAAAAAGCTTTGCAGCACATTTCTGCTAATTTTTACTCAACTTTTTGTAATTCCCATTTATGGATGTCTTAGTTTTTTAAGGGAATTTTTAATGTATTTAGCTTTTGCGACTTTGGCTGCTTGATTTAAAATTTTTCTAAGTCTGCCCGTAGAGGCAGACCCACTTAGTGTCTAAGGATTATTATATAATATAACTTTTCTCTCCAAGGATCCTATACATTGAATATTCTCTGTTCGCATATAATGGGTTTTTTTTGCAAAAGTTTGTGGGAAGGGGAACGTTGAGTGAAGAAATCTAATAATAATTGTCTTTCCAGGGCCTCTCGCTAATAATTTTGCTAATTTTTAAATGGTTTTTCCCGTTTTTTTCATCAAAATACTTATCTGATGTTTCACTTAATTTTTAGAAAGATTTCAACAAAAGACGATGCAAAATCTCAATTAAAAAATATATTATATTCCATATATGGATGTGTGGGGTGTATATAAGATTAAGTGTGAGGGGGCTTTTTGGATAAATTTCAACTATTCAAAAAATAAATGCGACAAAATATTTAGTTTAGTTTACAATTTAAAAATTTGTAGATTTTTCTTGTTTTTCAGCAAATGTTGCGCATATGTTTTGAGTTAATTTTCTTAATCGAATTTTTGGGTGTTTTTGGGATCAATATTTGAACTATGTTGTTGTTTATAAATATAATTATAAAAAATCGCATGGTTTTCGTGTATGTTTTGTACTTTGTTAGAAATTCACGCAGATATGCTGAAAATTATCCAACCGAGTCCGAATCAATCCAATCTAACCGAAATCCCATCTGAACCAAGTATAGCCCTTCTCATTTCCCATTCCTTCCCGTTCCTTTTTTCCCACAAGTCCCACAATCAATGCTCTCTCATTAATCTCGTTACTCGCCATTCGTTACTCGCTACTCGTTATATATCGTACATCAAACTTATATGCCACCTAATGCTACTTTATAAGTTTCGTTATGAAGAAATATAATTGGAAAGCTATATAGACTGGATAGCTAAATAGTGGGGTGGGTATAGAAATAAGAAACTAAAGTGTTTTTTGTTTTTGTAAAAATTGCACATAACTTTTCTTAGCACTTAAATAACTACCATCTTTAATTTTACACATATTTTGTGTGTGTTTGGTTAGGTTTTTTGGGGATTACATTTATTTTCTTTATTTTCAGTGATAAAAGTTTTCTTTTGGTCGATACTCTTCCTCCTCCTCGTGTGTGTGTGTGAGGTTACGTATTTTACAATTCTTACTAAAGTTCCACATATACATATATAATAGATATATATACATATATATATATATATATCTTTATAGCCCCATATGTGTATTTTTGTATCTGCAATTGGCACATCTTTTCTAAACCAAAGAATAAATCAAAAATAATAGGTGATGTGTGAGTTTCTTCTCGCAGTGTATATTGCACATAGAAATTAAGAGCTAAACTGAAAGAAAAAAACAAGAAAGGAAAGCTAACTTCGGGCGGAGCCGAAGTTTATATACCCTTGCAGCTAAAACCGGATATATATCGCAAAAATCGGATATAGTTTGCCGATCCTTATGAAATTTGGTAGGATGGATCAAAATATAATCTGTACCAAGTTCCAGCTTTCTATCTTCAAAAACACAAAAGTTGGGTCATTTCCGATCGTTCAGTTATATGGCAGCTATAGGATATAGTCGGCCGATCCTAATGAAATTTGGTAGGTTGGATCAACTAACCAAAAATAGAGTCTGTACTAAATTCCAGCTTTCTATCTTCAAAAACACGAAAGTTGGGTCATTTCCGATCGTTGAGTTATATGGCAGCTATAGGATATAGTCGGCCGATCCTTATGAAATTTGGCATGTCGTTTTATTTTGCCAAAAATAGCTCTCATGTCAAATTTGAATTCTCTAACTCTAAAAACACCAAAGTTATACCATTTCCGATCAATCAGTTATATGGCAGCTATAGGATATAGTCGGCCGATCCCGGCCGTTCCGACTTATATACTGCGTGCAAAGGAAAGAAGGGTGTGTGCAAAGTTTCAAGACGATAGCTTTAAAACTGAGAGACTAGTTTGCGTAGAAACAGACAGACGGACAGACGGACAGACGGACAGACGGACAGACGGACATGCTCATATCAACTCAGGAGGTGATCCTGATCAAGAATATATATACTTTATAGGGTCGGAGATGTCTCCTTCACTGCGTTGCACACTTTTGGACAAAATTATAATACCCTCTGCAAGGGTATAATAAAATAATAGAGAATAAACAAGAAAGGAAAGCTAACTTCGGGCGGAGCCGAAGTTTATATACCCTTGCAGTTAAAACCGGATATATATCGCAAACATCGGATATAGTTGGCCGATCCTTATGGGAATAGGAATATATAATCCAATTTATTACAATACAAAATCTAAAAAAAGTCCCAAACTTCTATCTTCAAAAATACGAAAGTTGATATTTCTACCGAATACCATTTCCGATCGTTCAGTTATATGGCAGCTATGGGATATAGTCGGCCGATCCTAATGAAATTTGGTAGGTTGGATCAACTGACCAAGAATTAAATCTGTACTAAGTTCCAGCTTTCTATCTTCAAAAACACGAAAGTTGGGTCATTTCCGATCGTTCAGTTATATGGCAGCTATAGGATATAGTCGGCCGATCCTTATGAAATTTGGCATGACGTAATGTTTTGCCAAATATAGCTCACATGTCAAATTTGAACTCTCTAACTCTAAAAACACCAAAGTTATACCATTTCCGATCAATCAGTTATATGGCAGCTATAGGATATAGTCGGCCGATCCGGGCCGTTCCGACTTATATACTGCGTGCAAAGGAAAGAAGGGTGTGTGCAAAGTTTCAAGACGATAGCTTTAAAACTGAGAGACTAGTTCGCGTAGAAACAGACAGACGGACAGACAGACGGACAGACGGACAGACGGACAGACGGACAGACGGACATGCTCATATCAACTCAGGAGGTGATCCTGATCAAGAATATATATACTTTATAGGGTCGGAGATGTCTCCTTCACTGCGTTGCACACTTTTGACCAAAATTATAATACCCTCTGCAAGGGTATAAAAATAAAAATACCATTTGTATAAGTTAACTAAACCATTTACTAAACATTTATTAAAATCAAGTAGTGTTTGCAATGAAATCAACTCAAAAGTTCAAAACTCGCCTATGAACTAATTGCATTATAAATGAATTTTTAGGATAATTGTGTAGGTGTAGGAATAATAATTAGAATAATAATAAAAAAAAACATTTAATTTATATAAGTCTACAACGTAGGTTAGCGATAATTGCTTAGACACTTGTTTTTTTTCTTTTCGGTTTTTTTCTTTTCGGGAAACTTAACTAACGATAATCATAAAAGGTTTTTGATAATTTTTTGTTTTTGTTTCGTTTTTGTTTTAATGAATAGAGAACATAGTAACTTACTAACTAATTCAATAGTGTGTGTGTGGGTGTGTTTGAATAAAAATTTAATTCGAAATTAAAACACATTCTCGCTGGTTTTTTGGGTCTTAAGGGGGGTTTGAATAAAAAAAATTAAATATAATAAACGATTTTCTATTAAGGCAAATTAGGTTTAAAGCGCCACATTTTGTTTCTTTTCTTTAAGTGTAAAACATAACATAAAGCTGCCAAAGCCAGGTGTGTGTGTGTGCTTCCTGTGCGTACAATTTTTCTTTTTCATTTATTTTTTTGTTTTTGCTTTAGCTCTACAAAGTTTTTAGCATTTTTAAGTGTTTTTTGTTCATAATTCTAAATTGTATATTCCATTAAATTTTCATTTTCATTTTGGTTTATTTTTAATGTTGTTTTTTGGGGTTTCTATTAACCCGAATTTTTCGTTTAATGGTTTACATTGAGTTGGGTTTACACACAAAGAAAATTTCACTAAATTCAATTTACAAAACATTAAATGATGTGTTCCGAAAGTTTTTTATCCGAAGACTGCAAAATTTTAGTCGGTCCATTCGTGTTTCAACTCGTTTTCTCGGAAGAGTACAGCGTTTCAGGCCATATACTCGTGTCTGAACTTGTTTGAACATGATCCAAAGTGTTTAATCTTGAACGAACGTTTTTGATCGGGTTTGACGTGTTTAAACATGCTCTAACGGGTTTTCTGCGAAGAATATAGCATTTCAGGCCATAAATTCGTGTTCAAACATGTTCTAACGTGTGTGATCTTAAACAAACATGCTCCTTCGTCTTCAATCTTGCTCAGTTTTACACAAAAAATGCTCAAATGTTATTAATTAATAGTTAAGGGATCTCTTGGTTTCCGTTTCTCGATCTACCCTTCGAAGTTGGGGTTTTCGGAGTAAGTGGGTTGTTGTTATAGCTGTTCTTTTCTTAAAATTAATTTAACAGAGTCCTTTTACGTAGGGATGCCCTCACATCTCACATCCTACTACTTTATTTTTGCCTACGTCTGCGTGTGCGTCCTGTAGTTTGCTATTTTTTAGTCTTATTTGATGCACTTGCGAATCCAATGGTGTTTCGGTTTAGTCCTTGAAGGTGTTGTCTTGATGATGATGTTGTTGTTGCCGTTTCAACCTCGTCTTCTACTTCTTCATATTGTTATTGTTGTTAAACTAGTAAATGCTACAAAATAGGATCAAGCTTAGGGATAGACCTTAGGCCGCCGTATCCACCTCCTCGACGATGTGATTCGGCGAGACTTCACTTCCGGCTGCCGCCGTGGCCGCCGCTGCTGTTGTGGTGGCGGTGGTGGTTGTGGCCGCGGCCGTGGTTGCTGTGGCGGAAGATGTTGCAGGATTGCCGCTGTTGGTGGCGCTGCCACTGCCCTTCTCATTGTTGGCCACCAGGGCGCTAACGGCACTGTACTGCATCGCTGTGGCAGAACCGGATCCAGCCGAAGTGGTGCTGCCACCGGTGGTCTGAGCCGCCGCCTGGGCAGCTGCCGCGGGCGTGGCATAGGGACCGCTCTTGAGCTTGCGGGCCTCGCGCTTCTGCTTGTGCTGTTGCATGACCAGGCGCAGCTGGTCCATCTTGGAGCGGGTCTTCATGTTGGCCAGCTCCACGGTGCACTTCTGGCAGGTGTGTTCGCGTTCGCCGTCGCGTCCGAAGCGGCAACTGCAGCCGCCGTTGTTGGCGGCTGCCTCGGCGGCTGCTACACAGCAGCTGTGCGGCTTCGAGGATGATGCGGATGAGGACGAGGATGATGCCTTCGAGGACGTGGAAGAGGAGGATGACGAGTGATAGCCTTGGCAGTCGCGGTAGGAGCAGCTTACTCCGTTGCCAGCCGCAGACTGCTGTTGCTGCTGTTGTTGGGCGCGGCTGTTGCACTTGGCGCAGTTGTGGTGCTTGGAGTACTGCAAGGATTAAAGGAAGGACATCATCAGTGAGCACACGAACCCCGAGAATACCCTTCCTACAACTTACCATTTTACTGCGCGAGCCGTGGTGCATGCCACTGCCGCTGGATCCAGAGCCGGAGCTGCCGGAGCCAGAACTGGAGTTGCCAGAGCCCGAGGAGCCGGAGCCTGTGCTGCTGGGAGCCTCGAAGCTGATGCGGGCACCCCGCCCGTACTGGGGCGTGGCACTCAGCAGGTCGTTCAGGATATGTATCACCGTAGAGATGTCGCGCTTGGGCCGGCCGTAGCGATCCTGCAGCGCCGGGTTAAGGGTGCCGGAGAAGGTGCCCGAATAGATGCCCTTGCCGTGGTTCTTCATCGACTCGATGACGGCACCGGAGCCGCCTTTCCGCGGCGTCTCGTCGCCGTTGTGACCGGATCCGCTGCCGCTGCCAGAGCTGCCCGAGTTGCCACCGCTTCCGGAGGAGCCGCTGCTGGAGGAGCCACTGCCCGAGGAGCTGCCTCCGCCTCCCGACAGATCGATCTTGTTGGTGAAGACCTCCTTGGAGAGCTTGCGCAGAGTCTGGGTCAGATTGCGAGAGGCCTCCGCCAAGGTGCGAGTGTCCGAGACGCCCAGAGTCGAGTCGTCCGGCTCGGAAATGGCCGGAGGAGCCCCCACTGCCGCTGTTGCTGTGGCAGAGGCCGTTGTTGCCCCCCCTGCCACTCCTGCTGATCCTGCAGAACCTGCTGCCATAGCCTGCTCCAGCTTGCGACGCGACGAGGTCGAGGATGATGCAGTAGTGGACGAGGATGAGCAGGAAGACGATGATATTGTTGATGAGGAGCCGCTGCCGCCGGTTGCTTGATAGAAATGTCCGTTTCCGTGCCCGTGACCGTGTCCTCCGTGGCTATGTCCTCCATGCCCGTGCCCGTGACCGTGTCCATGGTAGTGGCGGTGCTTGAGCCGCGTGATCCGGTTGTTGCCCGTCTTGTGGAGCATCGAGTTGCCGGAGAAGACCACGCCCGCTGCTCCCGGCCCTATGGAGCGTGCAGCGAAGCCGGCGTTCGTGCAACTGGCGTCGGGGCACTTGCTGCTGGTGATGGTGGGTGTTGCCCCGGAACCGGACCCGGATCGCGTTAGTGGAGGTGCTGCTACGGGGGCTGCCTGCGGCGGGGGGAGCGGCGTGGGCGGTAGGCGGGTGCACAGACAGGATGTCAGTTTGGCGGCAATCGGATCTTGCTGGCAACCGCCGGTGGCACATGAAGAGTTGGTGGTGGCGCTGCCGGAGCAACTGCATCCGGCGGCGGCAGCGGAGGAGCTGGAATTAGAAGTGGAATTGGTTGTGGAACTGGTGTTGGTAGCAGCAGCAGCACTGGCCACCGGCTGAGGAATGGTCTTGATGGCCGTCATCTTGATGGGACTGGAGACCAGGTTCGACAGCGACTTGATTGGCGACTGTTCCATCAAGTTCTTGCCGTTCTTGGAGGAAGTCTGTCCGGACGTGGACGATGTCTTGTCCTTGGCCAGGTTCTCGACAATGCTCTGGCAGCCCTTGATCAGTAGCTTGGTCAGATCTGGATTCTGAAGAGCCGATCCAGCGGTGGAGTTCGATCCGGAGGCATTGTCTTCGTACAGCTTGCGCAAGCTTGAGGACATCCTGCCACCACTGCCGGCCGCCACGGCCGAGGCGTTGTGGTGATGATGGTGGTGATGGTAGTGATGATGGTGGTGATGCTGGCCGTGTCCATGACTGGAGGAGGAGTGGCCGTGGCCATGCCCGTGACTGTGATGGCCATGCCCGTGACCCTGACTGTGCCCGTGGTGATGATGGTGACCGCCATGCCACGACCCGTGCTGCAGACTGGGATGCTGATGACTGTGGACATGTCCATGTCCGATCCTGCCGCTGGCTCTCTGTCCCGACGAGCGGTTTCTCGACGACGACGAGGAGGAGGACGATGATGAGCCAGATCCCGAGCCAGAGGACGACGATGACGCGCCGCCTCCGCCCACGGCCAGAACTGGCACGCCGCTGGCAGAGGTGGCAGCTGAACCGCCACTTGCCGTCACAGCTGCTGTAGAGCACCCGCTTCCCACTGCCGGCGTGGTGGAGGCCGAGGAGGTTACTGCCCCGTTACTACTGCTGCTGCTGCCTGTGCCGGAAGAGGCCGGATTGACCGTGCTGAGTTGCAGCTGAATGAGCATCATGTGGTCGCCCAGGCGCATGCTCAGGTTGAGGGGCGTCTTGCCGCTCAGGAAGTCGTTGACCTGCGATTCGTTAAGCAATTCCAGCGCCTGCATAACCGTGTTTTCTGGACGCTGAGCCTAAAAAGAGGGAGGAAATAAAAGAAAATTAGTTAAAAGTTACGATTTCTTTGGAAAATTAAGAAATAATTGAAGATAAGCACTGAGACTGGGATGATCCTAACCTAGTTTTCTCTGAACTGCTTTGAAATTACTGCTTGGTTAGCTTCGCAAGCAGTGCGTGCTGATAACTAACAGTAGACTTTTTTCTGGTGTAAACTCACTGTTATTTAACAGTACAATGTTCGAATACTAGCCTTTGCATTAAAAAAGTTTAATATTTAATATTTTTGCTGAATGTTTTATTATATTCTGGTTTATAGGAGCCTCTCCACCTCCACATTCCTTTCAAATGAAATCTCATATTTCAAAATATCTCTCCTAGACCTAGACCAACTATTCATGCACTTTTTCTTTTTTAGAATATTCATTTATTTGCTGGGCCCGCCAGGGGTCTATTGTTGAACGTGATTCAATTCAATACAATCCCCCATACAAACCCCCTTCATTGTGTTGCGATAAAATATTTGCAAATAGAGCCAACTCAGTCTCAATTGCGTCACAAAAAAGTAAATCAAAGAGTTTTACACTTAGTTTTAAAAGAAAACTTAACTTAAGCTTTAAACTACTCAAGTAAAGTTAAAAAACAAAAACAAAAAAAAGCGAGAGCGAAGTAACAAAGGAAAGTAAACTGTTCGAAGCTTGATTTTTGTTTTTAAAGGTCTGGGTCTGGGTTAATTAATCATTTCCATTGCATATGGAGCAAAACAGCAGCGGGTAAGTAAATAGGATTAAGATTATACAATTCAAAATTAAAAACAAATTAAATTGGTCTTAAGAATCGCATTATTTTTCATATTCCGTATATAAGATATAGATCTCGATGGACCTCGTTACTATAAGCTCCTCCTCCACTGTCGAATGCTGCAAGGCAGGGGCGCGACACCCGGGAGGGTCATGCCTTAATTTTCATTTACTCTGCGCTCTGACACAGTGACCCAATAATATTCAAATGAAGACAAAAAAGCTCTCCGCAACTAAAAACGAGGCAAGATACGATGAAGATATTATGACGATGATTATAGTGATGATGACGATGATGACCGCCTGCCTGCCTACTTTCTCTTTGCCATTTGACGCAGCATGGAACCTTATGCAACCTTGTCGAGGGAAGGGTTTCCCTCTGCTCACACCGCCTACCTCCTAAATAAATAAATAAATAAAAACCCGGCCTAGCAACCAGCCGGCCGGAGCCAAAAAAGAAATGAGTCGAGCCTATTTGGTGACGAAGGTTACTTGGCTATGAGATGTTACTTTTCGGTGTGTGTTGCCTGTTAAGTGTACCAAGGTCAACTTACGTCACCGCCAAGCCAAAGCCCCACAGTCAGAGTCTCTGAGTCGGAGAGACAGCAGCGGCGAAATCGAAATTTTCAAATTTGAAACCTCAAGACTCGGTCTCCAAAAGCACAACCGCAACAAAGCCAGTCAATGCTGTAATTTATTAACTTTGTGCAAATTGACTTGACGTTTTATTATTTCTTTTTTTTTATTTTTTTCACTTTGCAACTTGGCAGGGAAAACGTTTTTTGGTCAACCGGTTTTTTCGTCAACTCGACACAAAAAAACGAGGGAAAAGGCAATACAAAAGTAACTAATACATCATAATCGAAGCCCTAGATTTTTGGTTGAGGGAAAATGAAAGCTACTTGTTGCACTTGCATACGAAATTATTAGTGAGTTACCTAATATGTATCTGCCAGGGAGAGGAAACAATAAAGGTATAGGATGGCATAAGATACCTGGCGTACTTTGGAAAACTTGATTGATTCAATATTTCTCATTATGACTTTACTTATAATTTATAAACATTATTAATCCTCACTATTATCTGGATTAAATATTTTTAGGTACAAAACCATTTACAGGAAAAATCCCTAGTCTACAAAATATAATTTTCTGCACCGCCTCCTCATTATTCAAACGCTGAGGGAACAATAATGCCGCACTTGAAAAAAATCAAAGTACACGTAACACAAAGAAAAAATATTTGTACATTTTTGGGACAAAGCATTTGCTTTTTATATTTTTTGTTGTTTTTTTTTTTGCGTTAGTTTTGCACTGGCTATCTTTGCGTGCGTGTTTGTATGTGTTTGTTTGCTGACCATGAAATTATTTTTATTGCGTAGCATTTTCAATGGAAGTTGTGGAAGTGCGGCTGTGGATGTGTGAGTGTGGCGTCGGCGGCGCCTCAACCCCTTGAGCCACCTGCCTCTGCCTCTGCCTCCGACCACTAGCTCCTCTCTGGGCCTCTCCAAGAAAACACTTGACGATGTGTAACAAATTAAATTGGCCAAACTGCGCGCTGCTTTGCTTTTTGATAAGAGAAACCAACCACCACACCCACCCAAGCACCCAACAACCCAACCATCCAACCACCCACTTATATTAGTTGATGATTTTTTTTTTATTTTATAGTGCCAGAGCAGCGGGACAAAGACAAAGACCGGCGCCAGCAATGACGCCTTGTTTGCGTCCATTATCTGGACAACACGGTACCGGTCGCTCTCAGTCCACACTTCACAAAAAAAGGGGTATTTAGTTTGGCTTAAAAAGACCACAAATTGAAAAGCAAACGACAGTCACATAACACACACGCTAATAGTTCCAAGAAACCTTCATATATATTTCTATGAAAGAATCTCTTCAAAATATAATTAAGAGTCTCATATCTACATATATTTCTTTGTCATGTCGTCGCTGGGCTGGGTTCGGGATTTCTTATCTATTTAATTATGGGAATTTTTCATCAACTACAATAAAAAAAAAACAAAAAACAAAAGAATTCGAATAGTTTCACGTTTGAATTGTGCATTGTAATTGAAAGTTATCGACGACTGAAGCGCCGGGGTATAAAAAGGCTTCTTAAGCTTTCGATTAGAAAGAAATCTAATAAAACAACCAATAATTACTCATGCCCAACGGTAATTAAATCGAAACTAATAATAGCAAGACAGCCAGTCAGCTAGCTAGCTAGTAAATGGCAAACAAAAGCTGCTCAGTCTGTGCGAATGCAATTGTGAAATAGCCGGAGAGCCGATTTCACAGAAATAATGAATATAAATAGTTATGTGATGCCGCATGCTGGATAAATAACTTACTACAGAAAGGTAAATCACACAGACATTGGAATTTTATCAATGAAATTCAAGACGAGATCAGCTTAAGAATCAAAACAAGCAAGTACAGTCATCGATAAAGAAGCGAGAGGCGTGAGGCGAGACGAGAAGCGAGACAAGAGAGATGAACAACGAGAAACGTGTCTGGCACATCCGCTACAGCCAGTTAACAGTCCCCGCTTAACAGTTCTGTTATCCGGATGAAGAAAGAAGAAGATAAACCGGATTTGCGGAAATCTCAAGCTCTTGTATTTCCGTTGTTTTTTGTTTCCATCTCGGTGTTCTCCACACTCCGTTAAGAGTTTATGAACCAGAATGCACAGAAAGAACTCGTTGACACTGAACGATCTCGAGAAGTAGAGATTATGATAATGAAGATGACGGTAACGATGCTGATGCTGATGACAATGATGATGATGCAAGTAGTGGTGGCTCGTGTTGCAGAGATGAAGATGTTGCTTTGATTGAGATACTACTGATGACACCGGTAATTAATTATGATTTCAATCCAGATAATAAATAAGGGGACTCGCCAAATAAAACATAAAAACCTTGTTAATTAATAAATAGACTATCAGTCACTATGACTTCATAGCAACTGTATAGTATTTATATCAAAAGAACCAAAAGAAGAATTTCTTCGATAAGTAACTAAAAATATTTCCGGCGATGACGGCATCCTCGAAATTATCTGATAGATACTATGCCTCATGAGATATGGCCCATAATGAAGAGATACATCCAACAATGGGGCATCCCAGTGGAAGTGAAGCCATTCCCGATAGCACTTTACATTCCAAGCAGAGCCAAGATAAGTTGCCTGATTTCCATTGAAGAAAGCACCAGATAGAGATGGCTCTAGATGGAAAAAAAGAGAGAGGTAGGGAGGAGTGGCAGAAGAAGAAGGCAAAGTTCGCCAGACAAAGACAAATAGAACTGGTTAATAACCTGTCCCCTTGGCTTGTTCTTTCGCATCTTGTGCCTTTTTTCCTTCTTCTCTCTTTGCTTCTTTTTGGCAAAACATACAAAGGACACATAAATTGGACTGGTCACACCCAAAAAAAAGACAACATTGTTGTCATCATTGGGTACTGGGTCTCCGATATTTTGGTTTTTTATGAGCATCTTTGTTGCTTTGTCTGCGTTGGAGACTGCTGAGACTGGGACTATGGACTATCATTAGCGTCCAGCGTCATCACCATCATCATCATTATTATTTTTACCATCAAGCATCACTGTCATCATCCTCCTCTCGATCCTCTCGTGTTATCAGCTGGCCTGGCCCTTTGTCTGCCGCTTTCAGCTTTTGTCTTCTGGACTTGCAATTAAAATCATTTCCATAAATCTATGCACCACCACAAACTCGGGGACACAACACCCACACACTCTTAATAAACCTCTTCTTCTCAATCCTGTTGCAGAAATGCCAAAAATACAAAAAGGAAAAGTAATTAATTTGACAGGCAAACGCCAGCGCATCATTTAAACCACATAAATAATAAAAACGAATTCGAATCGAAATGGGCAAGAGCCAGTAAGCAAGTGGGTAGAGGAGACTTGCAGGTTGGAGGAGGACGTCTCCCGTCAGTGTCGCCTCCCAGTTCTTTTGGTTTTCATTCTCCTCTGTCACAGGCGGTCATGGGGCATGGTGGTGCGGTGGCTGACAACGCCCACCCACTTGATTGTCATTGCCGACAGTGACATACACTAAGAGACAAAGCTGCAGACTGTTTAAGATGATAGGAAGGATTATAAACAGCATAATCTATTCTATATTAATTTGTTAAATAAATGGTCTTTCTAAATTAATTCTTTCTTAAGCATTTATCTCAACTAGTTCTCGCTGTGTAGTTCCTGCAGCTGGCATGTGGTTATTGTTGATTTCTTCGCCAAAAAGTCGCAATGAAATCGAAAATAATGACAAAACCACAAAAAGGTGCCCCACTGGGAAGGCCAAATGAAGATGAAAACTGAAAATCAAGTCAGCGGGGGAATTGCAAAGAAAATTTTGGTCAAAAAAGAAAAGAGCTTTTCGGCTGACAGAAGTCAGAGAATAATGCATTTCACTTGACGTATTGGGAGTTCTTTTATGCTTTATGCTTTTTTATTTGAAAAAGTCAAAGGAAGAGAAGTAATTTAAAGATTGAAAATAAAAATCGAAAGTGGGGAAACAACCACTCATCTTTCCATCCGGCTGGACTTCATAAAAGTATACACACTTATTTTTAAGTATATACATCGCAGAATGCCAGAATGCTTCTCCAAAAAACATTGCGATAATAAACTTTACAAAATATTATTACTGTTAATAATAGCAGCTGAAAAATAAGTCTCTTTATACAATTTTTTCGTCGGCCTGTCTGCGATAAAATGTGGGCCAGAGGCATAGGATGGAAGGTAGGGGTATGTGTCAAGATAAAATTGGAGCAATATGCAAATGTCGTGACAGACAAATGAATATATATTTTTAGGCTATACAGAGCAGAGACGAAATGCAAATTAATTGGCGAATACTTTTACTTTTTTCGCTCTTGCTTAGGCAATTGAAGCTGACTGCAAATGGGTTTAAGAGAGGAGGTGAAAAGGTTGAACTTTTTGTGATCCACAAGTTCGGAAGATCAAAGTCACCTTCGCCTTCGTCAGTTTACTCACTCGAACAGTCAACAGTGTCAATAAATCCAGAGATGTCTCCATCAAATCAACCTGTCACTTGTTAACATACATTTAACCAAAAAAAAAAAATGTATATACAGGGGGTATCTCGGAGAAGGAGGATACAACACACACCTGTCCAGGTTGACAAGCAGTCGCCACTGAATTGCAATGTTTCAGCTCATTTTTCTGCTACCTTTTTGGCTACTCTGCTGTTGCTAATTAGGAGGCAATGGCATGAGGTGGCAAAAAAGGACAATATAAAAAATAAATACAAAATTAAAGCATCGTGACTCAGAACAAACAAAAAAACAATAAGAAAACCTTTGCGCACCTTTGAAAGATACATAAAAAAGCATACAATTCTTTTCAAACAGAAATTGCCAAAAATAACACAGTATGAAAATATTTAAAGTAAGATTATAGGGATGTCTTCGTACCTTTCTGCATTCTTAGCCAATTTATTTTGTAAATTTGTGCGACAAAGTACAAATAAAATGAACAAAATAAAAACAAGCTATAAAACAAAACAAAAAAAAAGTAAAAAGAAGACGCAAATTGTTAATTGGCTATTTAAACAATTTTTTTTCGTTGCAATTTCGTTTTGTAAATAAATTTTAATCAGCATTTCTTATTGACTTTTTTCGCTTTTTTCCATCAAGACTCTGAAATTGTATTCTTTTGAGAATTATTATTTATTCTAGTTGATAATTTGTTTATATTCGGCATTAAATTGATTAATGACTTTAAAGCCTTATTAAAAAATGTATAAATTCTGTTCTATATAAGTATTTTTTAATGGTTTTTGTAAAACGAATACAGCAATGTATGCAATGTATTATATGTACAAGTTTTAGCTCGTCTGCTCATCTTTTTTTTTTGGATTTTTATGGATTTTTCGTGCATGCCAAAATATTTCTTTGTTCAGATCACGAAAATTGCATGAAATGTTATATATGTATGTGTTATTCAAACACATGTGTGTGTTTTGAATGCAATATGAATTGCAATAAATATGGCCAACAAATGTCTGCCAAAAAAAGTAACAAAGGTGTGTAGAGGATATCATCCATAATAAAAATTCTCATATTAGAAATACATTTTCATAGCAGTGGAAAGCTATAAAATAAATCAATTTTAGAGCTTCCTGTGGTACTCCCTTGGTAAAAAATACATATTGGAACTAGAAGTTATCATAGTGAAAAAGTGGAAAAATATTAGCAACACTGCAAAGATGAGTCTGAGATACTTAGAAACAAAGAAAATCCTTGATTGGCACAAGTGGCAATAGGTTTCCTTATTTCATCCAAAACGATTTTCATTTCTTGAAATTACTCCACAACATTGAGGTTACCCAATTACTGGATTTATTGGCGATCCAGAGTGCGTGCCACTCGCTGAATGGCCAAAACCCATTGATAATAATGTTGCAAATGGCAATCAGACAAGCAAACGAAGCCGGCAACTTGTTGCTGTTAACTGGTGCTGCATCATGTTGCAACATTGCAGAGTCACGCGCATTGAAAGAGATTGGTAATACCCACTTCCAGAGCCCACTGGCAGAGTTGTTGGAAGACTGGAAGTGGAGTTGTTGCCAGGTTGCCCGCTTGCCCCGTCGGCTCATAATTCAAACGGTAAACGGTAAATCAAACGGTTGTGTGTAGCAACTACACACACACATACATACATAAATGTATGTACAAGAAGTGGAGCAAGAGGAAAAGTGCAAAGAAGCGCAAAAAGAGTGAACGACACAAAAATATAAGATGAAATAAACTTTTTTCTTTTGTACACCAATCTTAAATATGGCGAAAAATGTACCATTTCTTTTAGTACGAACTATAGCTAGCAACTCACCATACTCGAACTACCACTCACTCCTAACCCACCACACATCTAGCCAAAAATCCACAATCAGGGCCAACCGGCGCAGCTGCGCATACAAATGCAAACTTGACCTTTAGATGGCGCTGCTCTTTAAATTCAAAATCAGCCAAAAACTTTCTCATTAAAAAATCGCGCACACCCAACACAATACGCCGACAAAAAACCTTCAAAAGGCCAAGTCAAGGAGCGAAAAAGGCTAAAAGAGAGAGGGAGAGGCTAAAACTGTTTTTTTTTTTTGTGAAAGAAGGAGGGTATATGTATTGTCATGCCCATCAAGCGATCGTCAACTCCAAAAAGGTTTGTATTTTTTTATTTGTTACTTTGGAATAAATTATATGCTCCACAAGTCGACTGAGAGGCACGGAGATTCCAGAGAGCCTGCATTTTAAGTTACACCCCCTCGAAAATCAAATTAGGCTAAAACCAGTCGGGACTTAAAAAATATGTGTGTGTAATAAAATAAATATGTAAATAAATTAAAATTAATTAATGTCAAACAACTTTGGCAACGACAAATGACAACAACTGGCCAGGCCAGCGATGAACAATAATCAGCCAGAATTCCGATTCGAATGTGAAACGGAATTTAGTCGAATTAGTCACAGTCACAACAGAGTGATATCTAATCGTTCTGAAATTCATTATACACACTTTCAAATTCAAGATTTGGCGACTAAGAGATAGAACTTTAAAAGAATTATGATATAACGAAACCTATACTCTTGAATACTAAACGGTTTCTATAAGCAGTTGAGAATTTTTCACTGAAGTATGAAGCTATATTTAACTACATAACTATATTGGAATAACTAAGACTATTAGCTATGAAGACTTAAACAATCTCTCATTGTTTAAGAATTAATATAAAGCCTTCACTTACCAATAGACCAGTTTCCACATTTGGTATCAAAAATATCTTGGATCCATCCATTAGATTGTGATTTTTAAGTGTGCCATCCTGTAGTTCCCTGAAAATAGATTGAAAGCAAAAAAAAATCATTAGTTTAAAGTTGAAAGATTCTATAAACAGCTGACGAATGCCGTCAAGCTTGCCGAAATAGCTGGACAGAGACAGCTATCCAAAAATACAAAGAAGTAGACAAAAAAATAATAAAAGATAGAATTAAGAGTCAATTCAACAATAAACGAAAAGGCGTGCGCCATTCGTTGTATTTTAGCCTCTTTCGATGACCACTTAACAGTATAGTCACAAAACAAACACACTGAGAGAAAAATAGAGACACTAATAAAGACGCTGAGGTGGATTATATCGGCTTTTTAATGGATAATACAATTAATTTGACAATTGGTTTCTTTGCTTTTGTTTAGTCTCTCAAACGAGAAGCGTTTTGCAAGCGATTTTGGTCGCAAGGTAAGGTACATATGGTATATATTTATCGATATTGCAATATTGCTGGGAATTGGCGATCGTTTTTTTTTTTGTTGAGGCGTTGATTTGCTGCTGTCAGCACTCTTGCATGCGTAATGATATTTTTTGTGCGACATTTGAGACATTATACAAAAGTCAGCCCAAGGTACAACAACAACAATAATGAAACGAAAGCAAACAAAAATAAAAATGCGGCAAAAGCACATAAAAATCGATGCGTTTTTTGCCACTTTAACAAAAAGTCGATTTCAATTATCCATGACTACACATATATACTGCATTATATCCCTTGATATATGCCAGGCCACGTTTATTTGGTATTATAAACTGGTCCGAGTAAAAAGACTAATATCGTTAGTCATTGAGAAAAGATAAAAAAAGCAAAGATATGGTGAGATGCTTATAAGGAGAGATTAAATCAGAATAATAAAAAGTGATTTTGTAAGTTAACTGGGTTAAAAAGTGTTGGGGTTTATATTTAATATAAAGATATTATTTTATAAAGAAAAATAAACAAAAAAAACCTCAAACGAAGTCGAACCTGGACCAGCGTTTGTGCTTTTTTTCTTGCCTATCTTTTCTGAACAAAGTAAATCTGTTAAACCCACAAATATCAACTTCAAAAACTTAGCAACAAAACAAAAACCCCGCTTAAATAAGAATTTACAAGCACACAGGTAAAAATTAAAAGTTCAAGCACTTTACAGGTTTTTTCGGCTTTTTTGGTTCAGTTGATGATTTCGATTCCATTTTTTTGTTCTGTTTTGTATTTATTTTATTCTTATTTTTATTTTTTCTTGGTTTTAACTTTTTTTTTTCCTGTAATTGTTTCTTTTTTGTTGTTTTCGTCGTGCAATGTAACAAAAGTCAAAAGTTAAACGCTGTTGACACTTTACTTTTCACTTGCTGCTGAATTTTATTTTATTTTTTGGTCATTGCATTTCGCAGGTGTGTTAAGTGAGAACAACACAGTAGGAACAGACCGACCGACAGACAGACGAACAAACAAACAGCTGCCGCTTATTTGTTTAATTCCATTTACTTGGATAATAAAGAAAAATATGGGAAACCGAAACAGCCAGCAGCCAGGCGCAATTGAGACTCGAATGAAAATTAACCGCCACAAGAATCGTTTTTCATTATTTGCATGCTAAATTGTCAACAATGGATAGGTGAGGGATCCATACATATACAACGTATAGTTCTATAAACAATTGCGTCTGCGTTTCTCGAGTGACGCAACTTTTGCCAAGCTTTTGTTTGGATGTAATTTCATCCATTGTTTATTGAAAAGAAACTGAAAACTTTAATATAGAATATGCCATACAGGAAAGGCTAATTAATTAAGATTAGTTCGGTAGTTTAGTTATAAACGTTATCTTGTATCTGCGGCAACCTAAGCTTATGTTTTGTCGTTAATCTATTGGCCCGATTTTGGGCTTCCCCTTCACCACAAAGTACAGTTGCCACAACAGCTGACGCAAGCCCTACAATACAGAGTATATACATAATTACACGAGTGTGTGTATATATGTAATACATATACTAGTTGAGGTATAATCAATGTCGTCTCTATATATAAATATATATAGATAGTCGATGCATTTGTTTTGGCTAGCAACGAAAACGCAAAGCCATAACAGAGAAGCGTATAAAACGTTGATCCAAAACATAAATCGAACAAGGGGGTGGGATGAAGGTAAATGATACGGATGGGGAACTACTCTGAGGACAGGTAGGCCTTAAATTTGAACCACAGACTCCTCCATGGATAGCCTGGTGTGGGTTCGACTGCTTTGTAGTTCCCTCTCTTCAATATCACTTTTTTTTTTGAAAAATCTGCCAAGTTGCGGCGAAAGGTAGCAAAGACAAAGCTGCCTTTACGGCGAATTGACAGACAATGCGATGCGGTAACCCCGGCAACATGAACACAGCAACAATGGCAACACTGACAGCAACAAAAACTGCTTGGAAACGAAACGAAAACCGAAAAAGCAAAATGCAAACCAAAAGCAAAAAGCAACGCAAAAGCAAACGAGGCAAACGAGCGCGTTTAATGACTGCATGCATGATGATGAATTGATAAGATTTTGGTTAGCTGGCTGGCTGGGTTGACTGGGCTGGCACGGAAAGCGTATTCGAATTTGGGTCAACGAAAGGGGCGTGGCAACAGCAACGCTCCGGTTGCACGCAACATTCGGTTACACAGACAAACACGCACCGGCGAACTCGTGGAGGGGAAGCCCCTTTGAAACGACAAAGCGACGAAAAAGGAAAACAAAAAACACCACCGAAAAATCATGTTAAACTCACGAAAACCAATTCAAACTTTAAAGTTTAAGCTCACGAATTGCATAAAATATATATATTTAAATACCACTTCACTTTTAAGGGTTAAACTAACCATTTCTTATGCCTTTGTATAAAAATTTAACTTATTTGAACAAGAGCAAAGCCTACTTGATAGAAAAATTAGAAAAGTTGAGATGTTAACAAAATAAAGCAAAGCACATGTGATTTAGGAAAAAAGAAAAGCACACGCGAAGTAAAGCATACTTGATTAAAAATGAGAAAAGTATAATATTTTACCGAAAAAATATAAGTTTTTACGAAACAAAAGCAAGGCACATGTAGTATGCTTTGGGAAAAAGCAAAGCGCTATATTTTTATACTGAAAGAAATGTTGAAGTAGTTTTATGAAGATATGTACGCTATTTATTATACGCCTTACATCTTATGTTACGCAATGCAGCATAACATAGTGCGTTTTCTTTGTTACTTGCTCTCTCTTTCGCTCGGTACCTCTCCGTCTCGCTCTCACTCTTGGGCAGGCAAGCAGCAACACGTTGCAGTTATCAATTGCAGGTTGCAGGTGCCAAAATGAGCGAAACTCACCACAGCGGAAAGAGAGAAGAGAGAAAGAGAGTCTGGAGAGAGGAAGCGTATAGAGAGAGAGCATAAAATCAACAAGGGAGAGAGGAGTAGCTCATTAAAGTGCTTTAGTTTTATATATTTTTATAATTTAATATTTAATATTAAAGTTTTTAGTATTCTCGTAATTCTTTTTTGTAACTGTTGAGGTGTGGCTGTAGGTGTATAATTTTTGCTTAAGCTTTTGTGTCTGTGGAGGTTTCCGCTGCCTCTGCAACTGCCTCTGCCGGCGGCGCTGCCTTTACGCAATAGACGACGCAATGTGACGCGACGACAAAGCAACAGCAACAACAAAAACAACAATAGCGAAGGCCGCCGTAGCCGTAGCCGCCTTGTGGGCGGAAAGGGGGGCACGACAGGCCAGACAGGCAGACGGATAAAGGGGGCGTGGGGTGGCGGCAAAGGTGAGGCTGAAGGAGAAGCCAAAGCAGAATTTAACGACGAAGGTGGAATGAAAAACCAACAAAAAAAAAATATGTATAAAAAAGGGAAATAGAAGAAAGCCCTAAAGAGTTAAAAGTCGGACATTTTTTAAGCATGTATCTGGGTATCTCTTTAAAACTGTATCTATTGGATACTAGATACTTTAAGGAAAGATAAGCAACGTTGGAAGAACTTGAACAAACAGGCCTAGTATTTAAGGTTTATTTGAGGTTATATCACTATTTATAGGAAAAAGAAGAAAAACCTTTGAAGATATCAGCTATAAAGCTTATACGCTGTAAGAACTTCATATTTTAACCCCCTTGTTTTATAGTTACTTTTTTTTTGAAAGAAAACACCACCACCAGTCTTGGATTCTGGCTTTGGATTTCAGAGGTGCCGCGGGATCAGAGGTTATACGCTTCCGGCACGCTCTCTTGACCTCTCTCTCTCTTTGGGTCTCTCTCTTACGATCTCCTCATGGCCCCTTCCCTCCATGCCCTCAACAACAATCCCCCTTTTATATGCTCTTGTATTCCAGAGCATAAGCCTCTGGTTTCTTTCCTCAGTGGGGGCATTCGGCATAGCATTTTCGAGCCCGCTATGTAATTTCAAACCGGGGAACCAAGTGAATTGCCCTTTGTTGTCATAAAATTCCACCACCTTGCACATACGATTCTGTAGTTGTTTTTATGCTAGTATATGTGTGTGTGTATGTATTGGGCATGCTGCGTAAATTATCATATTTTACTGCCTAGAAAGGAAAAGGAAATGGTAAGGAAGGAGGCTTCTGGGATTCAATACTGGAAAGAGAGCGAGAAAGCCAGCCAGCAAACGCACACAGGACACCTAAGGACATGCCATCCAGTGTATCCAGTATCCAGTCATCCTGCTCGCTCTCTCCTCGGCTCTTTTATTCTTTTTACACATGAGGGTTAGAGGAGCAGCCTAAAAACGCGATAGAGCGAAAGAGAAAGAGCGACTGGCTGCGGCTTCAATTGAGAATTGAAAATGGGCAAGAGATTGTCCAAAGGATAACGACCAGGAGATGGTCAGAACTGCCCCAAAAAAAGGCCCTAAAAAATCAGCCAAAAACCCCCAGAAAAAGTCTATGTCTGTGTGTGTATCTGCGAAAAAAAATAAAAGTAAATACAATAAAAATGCCGACTAAATGTCTGGCCAAAAAGTTTGGGGCTAAAAGAAGGCCGGAGAAGGGGCCAGGGC